CTTGCTGATTGATAGGGGATCAAATACTTATTTCATTCATGAAAATGCAAATTAATGTATAACTTTTTTTGTAATGCATTTTTCTGGATTTTTTTGTTATTGTTGTCTCTCACTGTTCACATAAACCTACCATTGAAATTGTAGACTGATCATTTCTTTTTTAGTGGGCAAACTTACAAAATCAGCTGGGCCTCAAATAATTTTTTCCCTGAATGTAAATGGATAAAAAAAATGCCTGAAAATAAATCACTTAAAGGCAGAAATCAACAACGCTGCATTATGGCAAGACAGCTCTGCTGTTTATCAGCATGGAGAACATATCCATGCAGATTCTCAGTCATCCAGGTCATAGTAAGATGAAAAAACTTAGAAAAATCAAATGGACCAGGTTTTTAGGTCAAAGACGTTTCACCTCTCATCCAAGGCCACGTTCAGACTGCAGGCTGAAGTGACTCAAATCCGATTTTTTTTGCCCAAGTGTGACCAATATCCGATTTCCTTATGACAGTGTGAAAAGCACAAATCCGATTTTTTTCAAATCTGGCCCAGGCCACTTTCATATGTGGCCCTAAATCGGATACATATCCCATGTTTTGCAATGCGACTTCAGTCTGAACAGCCATGTCGCATTTCATACGATTTTTATGTCATTGAAATGCGACAGACGTCACAATTCTGCGCTGGAGTAGGCGAGGCCATAAGCAATATTTGAGCTGTCCTTCTTCTTGAAATTGTTCTTATTATTTCTTTATTTTGACTGTATATTAACTGGTACATCGCTACTCACATGCTATCACGAGCCGCATCCATTTTTATTTTTGCAAACACAGTACGCTGCGTCTGACGTCACGTCCTCTTCTGCGCATGCGGGTCACCTCAGGGCCGTATACCGTTCACACATAAGACAGATGGCAGTTCGCATTTAAATGACAGTGTGAACAACAGCGCAAAAAAATCAGATTTTGAATCCGATCTGAGCATTAAGACCTGCAGTGTGAACGTAGTCCAAGAGGCTTCTGCCCGACTGGCGTTGAGTCTGAGATATTTATCCCCATCAGTAGTGTTTCAGTCCTTTGATGCCCAACAATGTCCCCCTAACAACTGAGTCGTTATATAGGTGAGCGTCGTTACCCATCTTTAAACCATCACCTGTGGACCGACACCCATTGTCCTGGTGTGCATATTTGACCAGAGATCTCAAAACAGAGTTGTACATGGATGACAAGTTGTGTTTTAGTCCACCACCCCTATTTAGTGAGGGGTGTTCTATTTGGACAAAAATACTCCTCAGTCATCCTCTCTTAAACCAGCGATGTTCTCTGGAGAGGATTTTGGACTTCACTGTCCTCAAAAGAATGTCCTTTGTCCTTCAGGTGGAGGTGGACTGCTGACTCTGGTCCACTGGAGTTGGCCCTCCTGTGTTGGGCCATGCGTTTGTGAAG